GTCTTGCAATTAGACTGTGAATTATCTCCTGGAGGCAGAAGCTTTGCAAACTGCCCAAAATGTAGTCAAGTACAGCATGTTTTAAAGCCTCATCCAGGCAATTTAACTTGGTCATTTTTTGGTTTGGTTTTGGACATACTGGTGGGAAGGCTTGAGTGCCAGCTACCAGGACTTTGCTGACTCTGCAGGGCAGGGCCCGGCACCATGTGCCAGTGTATCAGATTTCCATCTCCTGGGCTTCAGCCAACCCAGTGTCTGCTGTCTATACGGTTTGTGGGAGCACAGCCCTCCTTCCCACCTTGCAGTGCCTGGCTTGAGTCCTTCCTTCTTCGCGTCCCAGAGTGATGTGGGTGGGTGGTGGTGGGACCTGCTGCTGCACCCACCTGTGGGGGAACACAGCAGATGTGCTCTGAGCTGCTGCTGCCTTCAGGGATGCCAGTCCTCGTTTAATAGCTGTCTTTAGTAAATTCCCACCTTGCCAACTATCTCTCTTCCCTGAGCAGGATGACATAGAAAGGCATTTAAGCACTTGATGGGTGACGGATGCTGCTAATGATTTCCTTCTGCTCAGGCTCACCCAGAGTCACTCAGGAGGTGAAGGGGTTTTGTCTCCTTCCACATCCTTAGCATGGTTGTGGCTCCCCAGCAGTGAGCTTACAAGCCAAAAAAACTTGCTAAAAACCAAAAGAAAAGGGCTGTTCCCCTCCCTGATCTGGTTGATGTACCTGCTTTCAGCCTTTTTCCCTACCGAGCCAGGAGCTGCCACGAGCACCACGTGTTGGGCACAAGGCTCTGGAGATGTTCCTGGAGGCAGTGGGCAGCCAGAGGAAGTTTCCCCGTTGCTTTTTAAGGAGTCTTTCTTAAAACAGGTCATGGTGGGCTGCGTCTCCTGCTACCCAGGTGGTTTTGCAGTTCATTGGGCAGGAAGGTACAGCTCTGTGTGTTGCAAAAAAATATCCTGCACAGTGTGCATTCTGATAAATGCACGTACCTGCTTGTGACCTGCTCACTGATGAGCTGTGGCAAAATCCTCTTAGCTCAGGACCCCAGGACAGGCACACAGCAGTGAGGGATGTGGCCACAGCCAAACCATCCTGGCTTCGTTGGGGAGCTCTGAGATGAGAGGACTTGTTGCTGGAGGGGTCTGGCTGTGGCAGTTCAGGGGCAGGAGCAGTCCTGGATACAAGAGGAAAGCAGGGATGGAACCTGCTTTTAAAAGCCACATATTTCCATGACATCTTTCTAGTTTTAGGACTGTTTCTTACATTCTTGGATAATGAGGTTTGGGGTTTGTTTTTCTTTTATTTCAAGCTCAACAAAGCCAATTTGATGCACTTTGAAAAGAAATTGGAAACAGGCTTCTCTGCCTCAAATTCTGCCAAGGTTCAAGAGTCCAGGGAATACAATGTCAAGGATAAAACTCTCCTAACCACACTTAGAAAGTTTTATCCCCAGGCAGCCAGGCTGCACAGGCTCTCCACCATGCCTTCAGCAGCCTGGGCCATGATGTATGTCCCTTTGATGAGCAGAGATATATATTATTTACTTATTTGCATTCTGGAACAAGTAGTACCTCTTTTTATGGGTTTTGCCTGTAGCTTGCCTGCTGGAAAATGGACCTAATTTCTGGGGGAGACTTGCTGTACTGTCAATATATCAGGCTGGCAAAGCAGACCTGTATGTGTGGTTTGCATTTCAGGCGGAATCAAAGCCATAGCTTTTTAATTTTAATTTTATTATTTTCAGCATAAGCTCAGAGAATGCCTCTTTGGGAAAGTATTTATCCTGGGCTTGTAAATACGATGTTTCTGTAGAGTTCTATCATCTGGATTCCTATTAAATTTGCAATATCAACTGCCAGAAATAACAGAGAAATTGTACTTGCACTTTTTTCCTTTTCTTTTTATTGTTGATGTGGCGGGGAAACCCTGAATGGGGCTGGGGAAGGGAGCCTGTGGTGGCCCTTGCCCAGCTTCACAGTGCAGGGTTTCAAGCTCAGGATGGGCAAGAAATGAAGCTCTAACTTGTGGTGCCCAAACCAGAACTTGCTGACAGAAAAGACTAAGTGGGTTTGGACAGGATTGATGCTTTAACCGCTTGGTCTGTAAACTCACTTGACATTAAAAAAATTACAATCATTGCCATCCATTTGGCATCCACTGCTCCCCAGCTGTGGATTTAAAAGGATTTTCCCTGCAGTGTTTCCAAGGTTCTCCTTGCTCCTGAATGCACCCTCCCTCCCCCCACAATACTTGAATTTTTGGCAGCCAAGTTCTTTGCATGTCCAGGATGGTGTAAATCACCAAAAGTTTATTAGTGGGAAGATAATGAAAACAATCACCCTGAAAATCCTCTGTGCAGAAGAAGAGGGTTATGGGGTGTTTTGTTGAGAGCTGGGCAGTCTGGGTCTTTCCAGAGGGGTGGGACTAGGGAGGCATGGTTTGGGAAGGGAACCTGGCTGGATGCAGATAGGAGTACCGAAATTTGCAATTAATCCTGTCCATTGGGTTAACTCCATAGATACCATTGCAGTTAATTCAGCATACTTTGAGGTTGGAGGGACAGACTGTGAAACACTTACAGTGATGATTTGAGAGGAGTAAGGATAGCAGGATATCAGGAGATCCAGGGCATGGCTGTGGTTAGCTGAGCTCGAGTGCCGCCTGCATTAGTTGATGTTGGTTATGGTTCCACAGCAAATGCTTATCTCCTCTAAGTGGGAGAAAGCTGAGGAGGCATCACAACCAACCACTTGACAGAAGTCCTGCTTCTCCTTGGTTCTGCTTGAGGGTATTCATGCTCATCCATTGCCCAGAAAAGGGCCTAAGTCAGTAATTTAGTCGTGTAGTGTGATGCCTGAGGTGGTTAATACCAAGCCTTGAATAACCCTGCCCATGATCTAGGACAGGAGATCACTCTCTGAAGAGCCTCACCCTGGACTAGCTCCTTTTCAGTCTAGGGCTTTAGGGGATAACTAAAACAGGGGGTCCCCCTGGCAGGTCCAGAAGCCCCACACAAAACCGTGCTGGCTCCCAGCAGAGGTGTAAGCCACGTGTGAGCAAAGAGTTTGTCCTGGCGGGTACGTTTTTGATGCACCACGTTGTATTCGTGAGAGAGAAACAACGAAGTGAGAGCTGTACAGCCCTCCTGGGCTGGTGGAGCGTCTGTGGGAGAGACGCGGGTCCTCCCCACGAGGCTGCTGAAGCAGCATCCCTGCAGCGAGGGAACGGAGCCTGCTGGGTTTTAGGGGAGTGCTGGATCAGCTTATGAAGGAGCTCAGGTGCTAGGGTGGCCTGGGACAGGCCGTGTGTGGGCTGGAGTCGTGCTGGGGCTGGGTCCCTGCAGCCTGCAGGAGCCTTCGGTCCTAAAAGCCCCGTGGCTGGAAGTGTTTGTGCTCACCCAGCTGCCTTCTGGAAGTGATTCTGGCTGCTGGCTCTCACCCTCCCCCCGCCCTGCTTTATTAGCTCTTCTTTTTCAAGCTTTTCCTCTTACAAGCAATCTCTTATCCCTTCTTTGGCAATGTATTGTCCCACTGTGTCTGCCATGGAGAGCCTTGTGCTTCCAAAGTAAATAATCACCAAAAAAATATGTCCACTCAAACGTCGCCCTGACTTCCAACGTGGGCTCAAGGCACTTGGAGATGCCTGTTGTAAGGCAGAGAAGAGGTGCCAAGGTGTCTTTTGCAGCTCTGTCCCTCCCCCGAAATTGCTTTAGAACAATGCATGCAACTGCCTTTCCAGCCTGTGGAATTTTTATGAGTCCCTTCAGAGCAGAAACTATGACTGAAAGAGAGATACACACACCCAAACCTGGCAGGACTCACCTAAAGCACTGCTTCCTTGGGGCTGGTGCTTTAGGTTTCAGATACAGCAGTTTGCATCTTCTTTCAGTAAAGGCTGCCACAGCACCTCCTGCCCTTGGAGCTGCCCTGCTTTTGCTGGAGGCAGCAGTGGGCAGAGCCCCAGGGACCATGTCTCAGCATGTGTTGAGACATCCTCCCAGCAAGAGTGCAGGGATCCAGGTTATGGGGTCAGTGTGCAGCAGGGTGGGAGCTACTGAGGGTGTCTGGAGTAAAGTCTGAAGATAAAAGCCTCTTGGGAACTGGGAAGCGTTCACATCCAGCCAGGAATTCACTCTGGGTTGGTCTATCTCCACCAAGAACACTAAAGGCATGGTGCAAACATAGCCTTTCCCACCTATCCAGGAATCCCAAGTCACAGTGCACATCCTGTCCCCCACTTCTGCTCCCTGGTTTCCTTTAGGACTTCTTCAGCCCCATAGATCCCAAGCTGCAAGAGGATGTGGTTGCATGAGAAGTGGGAGGCAGTGCTTTGCCTCAGCTCGGGGCTTGTCTGGGTGGTGGGGATACAGAGGAGCTTCCAGCAGGTGGCCCAGGTATTTTCAGGTTGCTGTTGAGTGGTAGAAGTGACTTTGCACCACACAGGCCCTTAGCAGGGTTTGCTGTCAGGTCTCCCCTCCATGTCTGGGGGTCACAGTGAGCAGATGCAGCAGAGCTGGCTGCTTTTGGGGGCAGTGCAGAAAACCACCACCTGTGGAGGGTGGAAAGGGGCAGGGGCATTCAGCCTTTTTTTTTTTTTTTTTTCATCATAATAAAAGAATAATAGTCCCTTCTTCTGGTTTTAGATGCTCTAACTTTGCATGGCACAGCTGCTCCAGCCAGCAAACGCTGGGGTTGGGAAGGAGGATGAGGAGCCATGCGATGACAGTAGGAGGCAGGGGATTGTGCACCGCCCTGTTTCACCTCCAGGCGACAGCGGCTCCTGCAGAAGCTTTAGACCACTCATCATCCCTCTCCTGAAGTGCCAGTGAAAGGTGTGACAGGGATGTCCCTCTGTGGGAAGCCTTAACCAGTGTCACAGATCATTTTGCTGAAGGAACAAGCTGAAAACAACTGGAGCAGAGCAGCAGGCTGGGTGGAAAAGGTCTATTAAAGACACTCTCTCTTTCTCTTCTCACAGGCCCAGCGACTGTGGCGAAGGATGGGGCTGAAGCCCCCCGCCCCGGCGGCCCTTGGGGTGCTGCTGGCCCTGCTGGCCCTGCTGGCCCTGGCCCACCTGCCCCCGCCGCCAGAGCGGTCCCCACCAGCATCGTCCCCTTTGGGCCGCTGGCAGGAGGCGGC